TTTAAAGCATCAAATCTCTAATTCAGTAACAGTCATATAGGTGATTTAGTTTAATGCCCCCATATGAAATGCAAATGCTCAGTTCAGTAGGTGTGAGCAGGGGAATGTGAATGTGCATCACACTTTTGCTGCTCTCAGTTTTAATTAACCCTTGTAAAACATGAAAAACATAACAATGGCACTAATGCAAAATTTTTTATAATGAACTAATGATAGAATATTCACTGCATTTAACAAATAGAGGGATTGTACAGTTTGATAAATATTAAAGGATAAATAAAAGGACCAGTTTCACCTTCTTTGAATCTTTCTTCAAATGATGAAACCTAATCATTATGTTTTAGACTCTGTCAATCATACTTTAATTGCTAAAAAATTGCAGAATCATTTTTCTGTTCAGTGAACAGCTTAATTGCTTTGAAGTGTTAGTTCTTATGTGAATACATGTGAGAATAATTGTTTTAGTCATCAGTGAAAACAAACTTCTATCTTTGTACTAAAATGCTCTGTTTCACTTGTTTGTCCAATAAAAATCAGCAGGAAGAATAAGATAGCCCTATCAGATACTGATTTTTCCCCTAGACCAACATATCTTTTCTTTCTGTGAGTCCAGGCAGAATTGTGATAAATGCTTTGGTAGTGGTGGAGACAGGGTCGTGTATTTGGAGAGTGCAAGTGAGGACACGCTGAAGCTGAGATGATGGTCAGGTGTGAGACTGAAGGAATGACTTTAGGAATCGTCACTATGGTCATTGGAGAGCTTGAGTGGGGCCAGGAAGGAAGTGGATCTATCCACTTTAATTTAGGTTGTGTTTTTCTCCTGATAGACTGCTTTTGCAGAAAAATCTTCCTCTCCTGCTATCTTCTATAGCAGTAGAAGACTTAGGGACTAGTAGCAGTTTCTGGTGACAGTGGGAGGGATCTGAAGCTGGAGGCACTGGGCCTTCTGCAGAGAGTGGGGTGGGTCAGGATCTCTAAGCAGATGTGGAAGAGGTAGGATGGGGGAGGTGGTGCTTTTGCAGAACTCACTGCCCTGAAGTTTTTACCAGAATGCACCCATGTTGCTATTCCATGGTGAAACTGTGTTCCCACCAAACTCCCTTTCCTGTTCCCTCTTGGCTGATAAAGCCAATCCAAATGCAGTAAGGCCTCCATGATGCTGTCCACAGAGCTCACTCAGCCCATAACAATGTGCCTTGAGAGATGCTCTACACCTTCTTGGGATCCAGTGCCAAATAAAGCACAGAAAAAAATGCTCCATCTTCATTTATGCCTGCATATGAGTGGATATTCATAGCAAATTCTCAGGGGTATGGCTCTCACTGGAGATCCCTGGATGTTTTCTACTTCTTGGGATGCTGCCTGATCCATGAGGAGCAAGTCCAACTGAGTCCTATCATGATTTGCAGAAATTACTGTACTTTATCATCCTTAATACCATAGAGGAGATGTTTTTAAGCTACAGGTTGGTGTAAAAAAGCTGTAGACTAAAATTCCTACTGAATTAATCTCTGTTTAATGTGAGGAGTAGGAATTTTCTAGTGTGAGGTGGTGGTCCAATAAGTATTAATGCCCAAGGCAAAAGTTTCTGTCCTACTAGTGCCAAGGGTGCAGAATTAAACACACAGTTTAATGCATAAAGGAACTACTAAAACTTGTATCCTGAGGCCATTTTATATGTCTACATTTTAAGAAGTGTGTTTTAAAGTAAATGAAAGTAGGAGCTTACAAGAATTGTCCTAAAGTAATTATGCAGAAAGAACCTAATAAACTTTCTCACTATTGCCAAATTAGAGTTTAGACAGGTATTGAAAACTAAAGGACACCCATTCCAGGCAAAATAATTGTAGGCAATTGTATTGAGATGAGGAGTGTTCTGTCTAATAACTGGAGATTTTTCAGGTATTTGGAGGTGGAAGTTTTACTCAACTGAACAACCAGGTGGAATGACACAAAAAAAAAAAAAGAAAAAAAAAAAAGAGGGAAGGAGAGAGTACTAGAAAAATATTGGAAGCATAAAGCATGAGACAGAGATACTGGGAAAGCCCAGAGTATCGTGGGAAGTAGGAGTGGAATGAGACAAACAATGCAAAAGGAATATTTAAATGGTGACAGTAAAATGAATTAAGACAGTCTGTTGAATATACAGGATGTAGACTTATCTGCTTAAAACTGCCATCTGTGAAAGTCTTGCTGTGGGAGTGTGATCTAGGTGGAAATGGCAATAAAAGATGGTGCTACTTAAAATAGTTTTTTATTTGTATTTTCCTGCCTAATATTTAGTTGAATGCACAGTGTACAGTAGTACATAATATTTTGGTTTTATGAGGATTTCAAGAGACATTAAATTTAAAATAAAGGTTACAAAGCAAATGTTGGGCTTGGGGTAAAATCATGGTCTGCAAATGGCGCAGAATTTCATAACAGCTGAGAGAGGATTATTATAACCCTGCAAAGAGGAAGCAGAGAATAATTTAGCCTTTTCTTTCTTATTTATCTGGTCTAGAAAACACTTTGCTCATTTTGAAAGACTACAGAACTGTAGTGTAATTTTAGAGCTCAATAGCGACAACAATTTCGAAATTCAGACACACATTGCAGCATGACAAGCTAAACTGGTATTTGATTAACTTCCAAATCTTCATTTTGGCAGACTGAGCTTGTTTTATGCTCACTGATTGCTTTTTTTTGTTGAAATGGCAATTACAGTTCTATCACCTTCTAAATAACTTCCCTTTTCTGAGGTGTGTAAATGACTATGTATGGATAAATTCAATCTGCCTTTCATGTTTTGATATTAATCATGCAGAAAATCTTCTTAGTAACACATTTATGTTTTTTAAAAAAAATGAGACCTTTTGGAATAATTGGGTCACTAGCTGTAGTGGCTCTGCAATTTGTATTAAAAAAATAAAAACATTTACAATTTCTGCCATTTAGTATGGAAAAATAACAATCTTTTGGCTTTTCAATGTTTGCACTTCTTTACTTAAGTGAAGAATTTCAAGAGAAAAATGTTTCCTCTGAGGGTTTTCCATTCAGCATTTTTGATGCTCAGGGTTACTGATAAAGCCTGTGAAATGAGTGTTTTCTAGGGGAACTAAAGCTGTTTATTTTCAAAGACTAACACACCAGGAAAACATGTGTGATGCATGACAATTGCTCAATTTCTGTTAAATCTTAGAACTTGATGATTAAGCTGATAGACTCAAATCCATAGCACAGACCCAATGGCTGACCTGAGGTTTTCCAGAGGATTTCTGTGTCCCAGTGATTGCCTATAGAACACCAGAGTTCCCCTTCCTATCCACTGCTTTCCCAACACACCTCATACTGCTGCTTTGGTATCTGTTCTAGGTTACTGTTCTGATGGTTATTCCCCCTATGCACAGATGGGAGCTGTTGGTTGTAAATGATGGGGGAACAAAACCCAGTGCAGCTCCTTCAACAAGTCACCCAAATTTTACTGGAGTCAGCCAAAGTACAGGGAAGCAAACAAAGGGCCACTCCACCAGAATTAGTTAAAATTACATTGGCAAAAAAGTTCATGGGTGGAAACCAAAATCAGTCTTATTTAAAGTGTTGAGTTTCTTCAATTAATTACTAATGTTTCTTTTTCAGCCATAAGGCTGAAACATCACAGCAAAAACATTGTGATATTTTTTAGAAGTTGTCATCATCCTCACTTGAAAGGGATCCAGGTTTGCATCTAAGTGGTAGGTGTTTGGCTGTCATTTTTTCTGCACTTCACTCAGAGATTACCTATATGCTCATAAATTTTGGGCCAGCAAAATTTGTGGAGCTATTTCTGATCTACTTAGACTAAAAAAGAATGAGGCTACTAATACTGAATATTAAGGTCAACTATGTTATATCAGAGGAGAGTTAATATAATTTAGGCAAGTATTTCATTTACATGTCTAAGAGAATTTTTGGCCTGATCTGAGAGCATTATTTACCTCTGATTAAATTCACTGATTGATGTGTGGTTTTGTTTTGTTTTTAAACTGGAGGAAAAGCAGCTTTTATTTTGATAGAACCTGAACCATCAAAATTAAATATTTGCTGCCTCAGAATTAACAAGCACCATGACTATCTTATTAAATGTTGACTGAGACTTCAGGCAAGTCAAGACAGATGGCAGGATGCAACTGAAAAAGTAAAACAGAGTAATTGAAGTATATATTGCCTGTTGTTCCACAGACATTTCTCTTTACTGGAAAGCATATAATTTCTTATAAGTTTAAATTATTGGGAATACTGGGTCCTTTCTTCCATGCCAAAGAAAGACACCTGTTGGTCTGACCTCAGAAAGAGGTGCTAATTCTATCTGCACATTCAATCTTCTGAGACACATTGCCTACCACATGGGTCAAAGCTGAGAACCCAAAATTCCTGATCCCACACACTTTGCTTAAAAATGAGATAAACAGAAGAGAAAACCCATTATTTTCAAACTCTTTTTTATCAAAACTGTAAGATTCTAATGTCTGTAAATTAATTATATTATTTACATTACAATGTTTTAAAAGTTTTATCATTTTAAGATTTGAGGATTTTTAAACTGGGAACTAAGTAATACAGAGCAGATTCAGAGTAATAGATCTGAATTCAATAAAATTAGTTTGCTTATTTGTTTTACAAAAATGCAATTACAGGCAGGAAAATCCAGTAGAAAGAGACACAAAATTCATGATAACATTGCCTGCATTTTCTGCAGGTTCCCAGGTGATAAGTACGGGGTTGGATTTAAATAATAATTAGGAAAACATTATGTAGTCAGTCATAAACCAGTACCCTGGTTAAAACACTGAACACCACTTAGGAAATATTCCTCTGATAAATTGACTGCCAGGAAAAAATGGGGAGGAGGGGCCAGTGGCAAGGTCTTTCCAATGATTCATGTAACAGTGGGTGAGTGGCAAACACATCTACTGTGCTACTACATATATTAAATATAACAAAAGGGCATGCCAGGATGTTTCTTACAATTTTTGATTTCATGGCATGCTTTTATTACTTTCTCCATTTTTTCACTCAGAGGTTATTAGATTTACTGCAGCTTTGAAAGATACAAGGAATTAGTATCTGTCGGGTATGGTGCCCCTAATGACTTTCTTAGGTTGCTCAAGTACAAACATCCCTCACTGATATTTATCTAGTGAACACAATATTTTACCTATTCATTTGTCTTAGGAATGAAGAACATCATGTTCCCCTGACAGTGAATGCAAGATTTCAATGAATGGTAAGCATAATAGAAAAGACAAAATTTTGCATGATCTTAGTGATTTTTAAAGTAAGCTGAATAAGATTTCTGGAACAACATTGCTTCAGTCATTGCCATAAATTAGAAGTTTTGTCCTTTGTGTTCTAAGTAGTATTCGGTACAAATGCACTCTGAAAGCTGCAAGTTGTCAGAATAGCTACTGATCTTTTTAACAAGCCTAATCAGCCTAATTTGGCTGATAATAGAAGAGTCAGTCTTGTCTGCCCTGATTCTATGGCATGAAGAAACACACATCTAAATGGACAATGAAAAATCTAGTTTAATTGCAATAAATTAAGTACTGTCAATACTATCACACAGTCACATATTTGATTGATCTTGCTATTTGAAATATGCACAGCTGGGCTTAAATTTGATGAAATTCATCAAATTTTACTTCTGCAGATTTTATTTTACTTTCTGCTGAGTATTTTCATTGTTAAATTCCATACAAAATAATTACAGAGAAGAAAGTTTCAAAGTTTCATACAGATTTGCTATTAAATTAATTTTCCTTTAGCTACTTATAGAAGGGGTGTGATGCATACAATCAACCCCTTAACCAAACTAGTGGTAATTTTGTTCAGACTCCAAAGGAGGTAAAGGCCTGAGCCACAGCCCAGACAGCCAAGAACTCCTCTAGTTGCAATCTGTTCCCTGAAGACCCACAAAGGCAAAGACTGGCACAGGGAGCATTGATATGAGTGGTGTTGGAACACCCATAATGTAATTAACACATGAACAGCTGGCAGCTTTTTAGTCTCATTTATCAAGGAACAAAGAAAGTTGTGGGTACAAGGAGTCTTCTGCCTATCTTTCCCATTGCATGTAATTTGATTACAATCCATTCCACTTATCTGACAGCCTAAGTGAGCCTTCTTTGAGCCCTCACAGCTGAGTAGCCTGACTGCTTGGTGGTGGCCTCCCCTAGCTGGCACCTTGAGCAAGGTCACTCCTTGAAGCAGAGAGACCACTTACCAATGGCAAATGTTTGAGAAGTGACTGATATTTTACAAAACCTTTTAGATCATAACTATAATTTGTGCTTTGGCAACTCAGATTTGTGCCTTGGTGGTTTTGAATCATTGTTCAGATGATTGTGCCATACAATACTACAGTGAGCCTTGCCACTGAACCTTGGCTAAGTTACTCTTCTACGACATCATATTAAAACCACTTTAGTTAATATCTTTGATAGTGTACCTGCCAGCAATCTAAATCATGCATTTGTGACAAGAGGAAAATGTTTTTGATGAGCTTAGGCCACAGCACTAGTTGGTTCTAGTTGATTTAAATGGTAATTGCATCAATTCCTACAAGAAATATAGCTGTTATTATATCATAATGGCTTTACTTTTTGCATAATGAAAACCAGTGCAGCAAGAGGATTATCCTGAGTTTTATGTCTGTGGTAGTTTCTGGTATTAATATTTGAAACATTATTCTCTATCAGATATTAGAAACTTGATAGACTGGAAACATGCAGTGTGGAGGTGGAGAAAAAGACAAGAATAAGAAATCAAATACCCTTGAGAGGTAAATACAACTGAAATATACTTAACAGAAAGGGAACTATAATTGTTGATGAAATAACTGCTGTAAATCTACATTGTAACCAGAACTGGGCCTTTTATAGTCTCTGTATCTTTGGTTCTAAAATAATTTAATAAAAAAGCCTCTTTAGACATCTCATTAAAGTTGACTCATTATTGTGGAAATTCCATCTAATAATGCTTGTCTGGCTTCATTACTTTTAGCACAGCTACACCAGCATAAAACAATGCTGTGATAGTGAATATATGCTCCAAATTCCAACCAAGCACTAACCAGTGTCTGATCTGAGTTATGACACCATAAATCTACTGTATTTGCATCACATACTCTACGACAAAACAGTTTGCTGTACTGAATGCTCAACTACTGAACCACTACCATGCTATTACTATTATAGTCGTTTACTATGAAAGGCTGACAGTTTGATAGGAACTATAATTCTCAGGCAATGTAATACGACTATGAGGGCTTGTGTATAATTCATTACAGTTAATTATTTTGTTAGTATTTTATTAACCATTGGCTAAAGGTGTTTTGTTTTGTTTGTTTTTTTCCCAAATCTATAGTACTTCAGGTTTCAAGTGAAGTAACTTGTAGCTATCTGTTTTATTTACAAGTGGATCACAATGACTTGATCAGTGCTGCCTCAAAGATTGATTAACACCCTTTAAAACAAGTTCAGAGAAGATATATGGAATGTTCTGGGTCTGCACTGGGTTGTCCATGTGCTAATTCAGCAGAGTTAGGGAACCACTAGGAATGCTAATTCAGAAATGTTCTTCCTTCAATCTTTCAGCCAGGCTGTACAATATTAATGTTATTTCTAGTAAGAAAGATCTTCTTATAAAGGGATTGAGGACCAACTGCTTCTCAAATGCAATTACATGTTGGACCATGTTGCAAAGGTAATTTTTCTGTTCTCCTCTGCGCAGCCCCAGGAGTGAGAAAATGTTATTTGTTTTCCCTCCCACTACTTACAATTTAAAGCCATGGTAGACACACAAAAGCTGCTTGATATCACTGGAGATAAGTGTTTTGGTAATTTGTGACATGTTTGTTACTTGTGTATGAACTTAATTTAGTAAAAATGAAGATCTTTCTTCATGGGAGCCAGCTTTCCATAAAATGGGATGGGTGTTGCAACAGTGTGTTGCTTTCTTCACAGCACTGTTGAAGGAGAGTTTAAACTAAAAGGAATCCACAAGGAGGGAACACAGAAATTTTAAGTTCACTGCTACTAAAAACTATACAATGTTAGGAGTGGAATGAAAGCCTGATTTATGGGTTCAGTAAAATCTGGGATAACCAACTCTTTGTTCTTCTCGTTTCTATATATATAAACCTACAAAATATGCATGCCCTTGTACAGGTGGGAGTGAGAGGCCATGTGAGAGCATATGGATGAAAGCTTATGGTACACTTCAGTGAGCAAGTTGAATCCAACTCTTTAACGTATTCATACATAGATGGATCATGTTTCTGAGATCACCTTTTGAAGAACTCTTCAGTATAAAAATGCAGCAAAGTTCTTTGGGAATTTTTCTAAGTGTCTGGAACACTGGAGACATTTACTGAGAGACACTTTTGAGCAAATAGTACAAAAGAGACTTTCTCAAGAGGTGATATTTGATGACTGCAGCAGGTGCTTCAAATGCATCATGTCTCGAATTGGAGTTCAGATGAGAAATCAAGTTATTGCTGCATAAAGCTTTTTCACACTTTAGCTGAGCCATAATGACTGTTTGTGGCCACGTCTTTAGTCATAGAAAATTACGATGCAAGGTTGAACAACATCCTCGTCTAGATGGTGGATGAAGAAGATGTTCAGCTGTCGAGTATGATGTTTTGTGTGTGCAGCCAGGCAGACAACTGAAGAGGCTGAAGAGTTCTTAAATCCATGCTTGACTTAACTCAGACTGCATCTTTCTTTACAGCTGGTCTAGACTGAAGGCTGCCCATCACTCAGTTAATGTGCAGTAACCTCTTCCTTCAAATGGACAGTGTGTGAATTGAGAGAACTGATCCTACCACCTAAACCCACAGCATAAATCCTGCGTAGTCACTTCCTTTCCAAGTTAGAATTAGAAATAAAGAAAGAAATATATTTTTGAGTCCTCTGCTGCAAAGATGGTGATCCACATATATGGATTCAGATGCTCTATTCTTGCAGAACCTGGACCCTGGCAGTGGGTGTGACCTTGCTGAATATCTCCCTTTATTGACAGCCTTAGGAAAACAGATTTCTGTTCAGCAAATCTGCAGCAGGTTTTGGGAAATGACCTGGCAAAAGATTTACAGATAAATCTGAAGAACTCACTATGGGTTAAGATGTAAATTTAAGTAATCTTCCTTTTTCCCTCTATTAATATTTTTCATGCTAGTGGACTCACAGTTAAATTTTCCTGCTGAAATGACTTCAGGGCATTAGCTTTGCCTGTTTAAATACTTTTCTGTTTCCTCTGCTGTCTTAGTGGTGAAATAAAATATTTTCTTGATCATTGTCTTAAATTCCTTTAGCTCTATATTTGGAAAACATTATAACATTTTATATATTATATATAATATAATATATTTTTATAACATTTTAAAAAAGCCTTTTGGAGGATTTTTAATTCCAAATCCAATGTTACTATTTTACATAAAATAGTAGCATTTTTCTTATGTAGAAAGTTTTTGTTACTGTTGTCACATTTAACATGTTTAATTCTTAACCTTTTTTTTTTCTCAAAATATTTGTAACTGGCTCTATTCCAAAATTAAATATTTGTTTTCAGCTTTCTTTCCTAAATAACTTAGCTTTTATAAAACAGAGTAACAACATCTGTTAGGACATGCTTTACAACAAGATTATATATCTACTTTACTTTTCAAAAGACAGAGGGCAATTTCAGATAAGAGGACAAAGAATAGGTAGAAGCAGACTGAATTCCCAAGTATTCCTACAGGGGTTTTCACTATATATTTGGTAGAATTGTTATTGTCCTCCCCTTTACAGAGCTATCAATGGTTGGAGTAGAAACTAAAGCTTATGGGAATTGGCCAGTATGTCTTCTTAAATATGTCAGTATAAAACAGTCTAAATTGCAATATGCATTAAAAACTACCATCTTCATATAATAAGTACAGGCCAATACTGCCAACAGTTTGGGTGAAAACTATAGAGGCAAGATACATAATTCAATTTATAATTGCCTTTCCATGGAAAACACCCATGCCCTGGGATTTTGAAGCAATCCTTTACTGAGCAGTCCTTTATCCTATTCATTGCAGTTTTGCATTCACTAATCTCTCTCGGCTTTGCAAAAGGAAGAAAGTGTTATTATCACATTGCAGCAGGGAGGAAAACTAAAGTGAAGTAGCCTCTTCCAAAACTTGATGGAAATGGCAATGGAGGACAAAAAAGGACAGGGATTTGACCTCAGTGGCAATCTTAGTTTTAAGCTTTAAAGTCTACAGTATTGCCAGCTTCTCAGCTAGAGGGTCCCAGCCTTTGGGTAGGTGTGAGGCTGATTGCTTCTACTGCTCTGGCAATACACCAGGCTGCACCTGACTGAGATGATGCACAGAAGTCCTCTCCCTTGGCCTTTCCTTGCTTCCATCATGTTGGGATGGGGGGATGCCAGTCATGACAGGATGCAAAGCAGAGGACACCACTCTCCATGTGCAGTGAGCCACCTACTCCCAGAAGTCATGCACTTAGTGATGACATGCAGAGAAACTGGAGCTGGTTCCTCACCATGCCTTAGATGTGTGTGTCAGACCTCTGAGCTGTCATTGGAACTGTGTCTGCAACTAATTCCATAACATGAATCTTGGAAGGGCTTTTTAAATTGGAAGCAGTGGTGTGCAAATGTGGTTGTGCCAATTCCAGACTTTCACTGCTAATTAATTCTTCCTGTGCTGCTTGCTTTATAGAGCTCTTCCTGCTGAGGCCTTTGATAGATGAAAAAATTCTTCTACCTTTTGTGTCATATAGTGTGGACATATTCTGTATATGTCAAATCCACAGGGTGAAATGACAGCATTGAGTGATCAGAGTCTAATGCACTGTATGTTAACATCCCCGCTTAGCTGTCTGTAATGGGGAGTCTGATGCCTAATTAGTACAAAACCCACCATTCTTGTTAAACTATGGACATCCCTGTTGCTAAAATCACTTCAGCTGGTCAGGTATCAGCTATGGTGGGAGATTATATTGAAAAGTATTTATTAATTAAAAAAATTAAACTCCCTATAAATTCAGAGTGACAGCTTCTCACAGACATCCCTCGTATCTGAAGAGGAAAACCTGTCTCTTTAAGAAAAGGAGATAATGTTTTCTGTTCTACATTGCATGTAAAAAGATGAGGGAATTCAGGTTTTAGTAGCTTTTTCTGGGAATAATGGTATTCGTGATACAGAAATTTAAGAAAGTCTTGGGCTGGTTAACAGGACAAAAATTAGAGAATTACAGGTAGGTTTAAATAGCATCTGCAGTAAGCAGTACAAACCACTGGTTATTCACATGCCCAGTAAGCTGGGTCCCTTGCTAACTGACTTCTGCTGCTTCACTAAAAGATTTTTATTGTATACCCATGATTAAATATTTTTTTTAAATGCAAGCAATGACAATGAGCATCAAAAGTAAAGCAGAATAAGAAAATTAGGAAGAGAGGGATAGTATTACAGAGGCTAAACCACTGTGACTGTTCCATTCTTATTAAGAATGCATAGAAAGGTATAAATCTGACTTTCCAAATGTTTTTTAATGTTGCTCCAGAAGAACTTAGGAGTTTAGCACCATAATGGGTATTTCATGAAAGGTGCCGCCTCAGGCTGAAAACCCAAACATTTCTTAAGGAAGAGTCCTTCTGTCAAAAAAATCTGTACCTGACAATACAGCCTGCAGAATATACAGATGGAAGATCGAGACTCAGGACTATGGAAAGCACATGTTTAATAATGAAAAGGTTTACCATTATAGAATCTTATTTAATTTTGAAAAGCAGCAGTTAAAAAAGGAAAAGAAAAAGTAGCACACTACATTTCTACATATGTAAAATATTAAATGTAAACCAATTTAAGCTACATTTTATTTCCTTTCTAAAATCACCAAATGTAGTAAAATATATTTTTCCTGTTTCTCCTCAGAGGTTCCTATGCTTAATTGATATTACAGTGTGTGAACAGTAAAGGTGTAGGCACTAGTTACAGAACATCACAGTGCTGCTGTGAGCTTATTTTGTTAATCCAGACAGTTGGTTCTTTGTGGTTACTTGTAGGAACCATATAGACAGACATGTCATGATTATTCCTTACCAGCTCATTGCTGCCATCCTCATCAAAATCCTCCTCTATCCCATCAGTCATATCTTCTCCATCCCCATCTGCATCTGGCCCTCCTTCAATTGGTTCTTCCGTAGAGTTATCTGCATTCTCTGATATGCATTCCTCTTGAATCAAATCAGCATGATCTTCCATTTGTTTCTTTTGAGCTTCTGTAAGGAAAACATACTTCTAGAGATTCAGTAATCTTTCCTACTGGTGGCAAAGGAAAGTGCTCTGCAGAAGAAACCCAAGCTTCCATCTTCAGATGTGCTAGCTTTGTGATATTCTCTGTGATGTCAACCAGGAAAATATGAAAACTTTTCTTTCAAAAATTTATGCATAAGTAAATCACAATATCAATATGGTCATGTACACCATCTATACCATGCAGTGGATGAAGGCTTGATTTACCAATAGATCCAGCTTCTTGATTTGCTGTACTTGACTTTGCCTTGGAATCCAATCGGCATAGTCACCAGATGTTTATTCATGTGCAGCCAATGAGAAGTACATAAATATCTATGCTCAGAGAAGCAGAAGGCTGTTAATTGCCAATAAATGAACAAGAATTTTGTGTGAATTTACTGTGAATATATCTTAACAGCCATACAGGCAATCAATAAATCCTTTTATACAAGTAAACATGTTTTTATGGAGTAAAGTATCCATTATTCCTCACTGGTATAACGTGCTGATGTAACTGGAGAATGCCCCCTTCCAATCAACCAAATATTGGCTTCCTCTATTTTCTGCAAAGTGGTGAAAAGAAAGACTATTTCCATGGAGGCCTGAAGAATCTGTTGTGGTTGACTTCATGAGGGTAGCTGCATTGTTGTGACTAGGTGTTGTGAAACTCCTGGATATGCTGAGGAACTCCAGAAATCCAGAGGAAGATTGATGGAAGAATGACAGAGACAGACTGGCTAGAAGAATTTTTGGAAGGAACAGAGTCTTATTCCTATGCATGTCAGGAATTTATATGAAAAACTTTACGTACTCAAAGTGATTCAGGCCAGAGAATTGGTTGTATGCAGCTAGAAAAACTATGTCTTTTTCGGTCTGAGGGTGATCAATGACAGAATTTCTAGAACAAAATATTTCTTCCTTTGTGAGACTGACTGCTCTGAAATACTAGTAGCTCATTACCTATCTTGGACAATTAATGAGTCAAGTATCATCTTGAAGCTCTATATATTTTGAAGTTATTGCCAGCTACACGTATTATTCAAATTTGATTACATTTTTCTCTTCCATAGTCTTAAACCAAGACATTTGTTTTACCTTTTGACTGAACATTTATTTTGCCACTTAAATTCATCTCTTTAGTCTTCATTAGTCCTTAGTTCCTCATTTTCAACCTCACTTACTGAAGAAATAGAAAAATTAAGCTTTCCTCCCTCAGTCACCTAATGTCTTCAGAAAGATTCTTAGATTTAAAAAATACAATTAGACAATTAGACAGCTGCTTCAACAGTACCACAGTCACATGTATTAGCAGAATATTCAGCCCATGGAGCTTTATCTTCTATTGGTAAGGTGCTCCATACAATTCCATGCTAGCTATAGGTGATCGTGTTACTTGCCTTATGCACAAGGAAATATGGATTGAATCACCTGTGCCTTTTATGTCTGGCCCTACTTCTTCCTGTCTTAAGCCACTTCTGAAATTACTCAGCTCTAGCAATGACAACTGAATTTTAGTTAAGGCTTTTAAAAACAAGGTTGCTGAATTGATAGACAATACATGTAAATGGGAAACCTTCTAACATAGAGCTGTTCAAAAATTAGGTCACTTAATTGTCTTAATGAGAACATAGACTGGGTTCTCCAAAGGAGGCTAAAACACCATCTCAGTCCCATCTCTTTAGGGCTGTTTTGAGAAGCTAAACTTAAGTTCCTAGCTTTCAGCCTAATTAGAGCCTAATCTCTAATATTACAGGAAGAATATTTATTAACAATTTTTTTTCGTGTCAGAACAGCTTATTCCCAGCTTCCTGGTTCAGATTTTTGCAAACAAAGGATCTATTTCTACAGTTTTCCTATGTATAGGAAATCCTATTTTCTATAATCCACACTATTGGAAAGGTTAGAGTTTCATAATAGAAAAAGCCAGAATATCAGCTGTTACTGTAAGAAGAGTTTT